AAAAAATACCCACTAAAAAAATTTATTTTTCGAGATTTTATATTATTATCTCATTTTAATCTGCCACAATTATTAAGATTTGGAACATAGTTGGAATACTTTGGGACACTGGAACTTAGGGACGTTAGTACATAGCAAAAAAAGCTCGGAACAGTGAAAATGTCTGTACTACAGATGTAACATAATTGAGTTACACTTAATAATGTTTGGCATCTTTAATTTTTTAATTCGACTGGAGTTACTAACTACGTAAATACTACCAAAAAGGAAATTGCACTACATTCAGTCGTAACTAACTCTGTAATTACCACAATTCAGCTGCATCGCTAGGAAATAACACAGTCATCTGCTGTAAAGAATAATAATTTTGACACAAATTTATAGACATAATAACCTGCATATTGTATTTGTATATATATATATTTAAAAACTCGCGATTTATCACCATTCATTACAATTCTTAATCAAATAAACATTTTTTGCACTAATTTACAAAATTTTCTTGCATAATGGTAATGTGGATATTAATTTTTATCATTGCCTTTACTAAAGTTACTATATGTTTGGACCCAAGAAAATTTGGTTTTGGTTACGAAACCCCACCAATGGGATGGAATCCTTATAATGCCGTAAATACAATCTATTTTTTTTAACGCAAATATTGATTATTGAGAAGCCTAACTAACTTTATTTTCAATATTTAAAGTATGAACTTAATTTCACTGAAGAGATAGTGAGGACACATGCAGATATTATATCTAGTCAAGGATATTTGGACGTTGGCTATAGATATGTAAATATTGGTGAGTTAATTTATTCAATAATCATATATTAAGTATGCCATATAATGTCGTCGTATGTTGTTTCTTATAGACGATGGCTGGGAAAAAAATGTTTCTCGAGGAGAGGATGGAAAACTCGTTCCCAAGTCGTATTATAAACACATTTTTGTTAAACAATGATGATTACAATCACACCTATGGGTTTAATGCCCATGTTTCACTGATTTTCTGCGATAATTTCTGTTACAATTCTGCTGTACAAAAAATTATGCAGAAATTAATCACCGCAGAAAATCGTCGTCCTTGAATGTGTACCAATGACTTATTTCTGCAATACAAAAGGAAATTTTATATGTAAACTTAAGATCTGGTGCAATCTTTGTGTTGCCTAAGAAATCACCTTTTACGTTCTAAAAAAAAATTTCTGGCCAAATTTTACAATACACATTCCTTATACCAACCTTAACCTTAACCCTAACGCTGGTCAAATTTCACGTGCTTTTAGCGAAATAACAAAAGAATACGTAT